TAAATGACGTGATGTGCCCTTGCGATTTGATTTACGAGATGTGAATATGTTGCGATTAATGGGTTCGACATGAATTTATGTGAAAGAGATGATTTTATGTGTAATCGTATATATATTCGGGATCTCTTCGATTATGAGAAATCGAACGAGGCCTCGAAACTCGTGTAAGTCAGTGGATATTGGAACAAAGTCGAGTCCTTGGCCTTATGGGAAGGCCTCGGACGAGAAATTTCGTGTTATGAATTAATTGTTAAATTGTCGAGCATATATGTCGCTGTTTTGGTGTTTGAATTTTTAAAAATCGCACACTGCTCGGAATGGCTTGAAATTTTGAGGAATATATTTTCGGTTGTTTACCATGCTTGTGTAAAAATTTCGTAATGTTTAGAGGCTTGTAGCTATTTTTAATAATTAAAATGTAAATCTAAGCAGAATAGTATTAAATGCATAAAAGATTCATTCGTGAATGAAATGAGCTGGGATTCGAGTATGTCATGCCGCTATGACTTTTATATGTTGTGTTTAATTTTTAGAATTTTTGGACTTGATTTGATATGGATAATATTTTATTTATTCATTCTGCAGAAGTGTTGTTTGAATTTTTAAAAATCGGTTACTGCATGGAAAATTCTGAAATTATACTGAGAGTTATATTTTAGGTGTTTGATCATGTTTGTAAACGATGAGAATTTTTAGAGTCTGTTTTGTTTCAGTTTGGGTTTAAATTCGATAAACTGCTGTTGCTCGTTTGAATTTTTAAAAATAGCAGCAGTTATTATTTAAGGCTGAAATTTTTATAAGTGGACTTTAGCATGCTGTATGTGGTTGTGTAAAATTTTCAGGTTCAGATTCGGTCATTAAGTCCGAGTATGAATTAATGTGCCCATTTTGCTGATATACTGTTCGAATTTTATAAAATAGGGTATTTTGAGTTTAAAGCTGAAACTTTGTGGTTTTACATGTTGCTGGAAGATGAAATTTTGGGTAAATTTTCAGAGCTTAATTCGTAGGGTAGCTTGACCATCTATTTTCATGCGATTAAATGATTTCTATTTCCGAACATGATTTTTATGAAAGTTGGGAATCGACTTGCTTTTCGTTTTGATGTGAGTTTGACTTGGTCAATCCTTAGATGGATTTATGTGAACTCCCATATGTGGTTTGGTCGAGTTTAGTGCCGAGTCTTAGTGTTCCAACATCCACAGGACTTCACGAACTACTTAGTCGAAACAAGTTCGACTAGGTCTGTTTTGTGTTTTCCGATTTAGTCACGATATTGATTGTAGGATCTTGACATAATGTAGGTGTTTGAGGAGTCAAGCCTCAACCTACGACTATTCTGAATTACTGTCATCAGTCCGAATCCAGGTGGGTTGTTATTCTAAAATTATCTATGCATATGTGTGATTTAATTGTGTGGAAAATTTGGTATGATCTATGTATGCATGTGAACATGTAGCCTATCGATGTGAGCTGTTACGGCCGTCGGTACGGTTGTCCCCGTCGAGTTACGGTACGGTGCCCTTGTGTGGCAATCTCCTTTAAGTCCTGATATGGCCGTGCCCTTGTGAGGTACGTAAGCCCATATGGAAGGCCGTGTCCGTTACAGTGGCACGTACTCCCGCCTTCGGGTAATGAATCCCCGTTCTGCGGCTAGCGATAGATGTGCACATGAGTAAGGTTAAATGGTGTGATTTTGATTAGGAGATGAGACATGTTGTGATCATTGTTTATGTTCATGCTGCGACCATACCATTGTTATATTATTCATATGCATAGTGTGAGTACGACATTTAACTGTACTCACTCCCACTTGCTCTTCACGGATGCAGGTTAAGCAGCTGGCGGGTGACGAGACGAGATGACGAGTGGTGGTTATATTATTTATTATTGCTTTATTAACCTTGCTTCCGCTTAGTTCATGAACTCTTGTTGAATTTGGATATTTTGGTTATGTCATTTTGGAACATGGAATTATGATTTATCTTTTATGAATTGGAACCTAATGAATGCTAGATTGGTTTATGGTTTATTATTCGTGCATGCTGCCTTTATTTGCTGTGTTAGCATTTTTGGATAAAAGCTTTTGGTAGGTTGAGTAGCGCCCACTGAGTTTTTAATTACATTAATGTTTGTAAAATAAAAAATTATTGTGGTTTCTATTAAATAAATTCGATAAATCTTTCAAAATAAAGTGGGGCGTTACAGTTGGTCAGATGATCGAAGAAGAAGACAAAACTCAGCCAGAAGGTCGAAAAGGCAACAGATCGAAGAGGCAGACACAGGCTCACTCTTGGATCGAGTCATTCAGACTCGACCAGAGTGGGAGGGACTAGATGATATGGGATATTATATGCCTAAATAATAGACTGGTTTACCACATTAGTCGGGCGAGCTCGATGTCGGGAAAATTGTGTTGGTCGAGCGATAATCGACCAAAAGGGAAGTGATCGAGCAGAATAGCAGAGCTGGTCGATGATCGACCTAGCGAAGATGGACTCGATCAGATCGAGCACTTGACAAGTGAAGAGTAATCGAGAGCGTGGCTTGAACGCGAGAAAGCGCGTGGGCTTCGTCAGAAGATCCTAACATAATGTGCAGAGAATAATCTTCCTCTGCTCAGAGGGACACGTGGCGAGAGTACATTGCTGCAGAGCAATAGTGGCGATAACCACCTCTGACACCTCTGACACACGCACACTGTGTGTGTACGGACGGCAGCGCGGGTAGGACAGCTCACAAGATCCGGGCAGCTCCTAGGGCAGGTATCTCACTCATATATATATAGGAGTGAGTCTTTTCTTGTGACTTACAATTTATCCATTTTTCACTTTGGAGAATTGAGTAAAACACATACTTACTTAAGCATCGGAGACTCTTCACTGGAAAAAACCCCCGGTGTGAGAGTTCTTTGCAGGTACGCGGCGTTCTACCGGCGAGGAGGAGGAAGACGAGCCAATTTCAAGCCGGTCGGAGTGTTTTGCTTTACCATATATATATATATATATATATATATATATATAGGATTGTTGATGGGAGTTTCTGATCAACGGTTAAAGAAATGAATAATGGAAATACGGAGTGAAGAGATGACAAGGAGATACGGGTTAATTACAATTTTATTAATAGACCACTGGGTCGGCCTCTCGTACGAGGTCGGCACTTGTGATATACTTACAATTCTTACAATGGTTAATTATAAGTTTAGAGAGAGAAAGTAGGGAGAGAGAGAGAGTCTGATAGTTGTGGATTCAACAACCCAGAAATAAATGAGGTGGACTTCTATTTATAGTGCCCTTAAATGTGGCACTGTTCAGGTACTGTTCATCGGTCTTGTTGCACAGTGTTCTTGCAGAGCAGTCTGGCGCCTCCCTGACAGATATTAATGCGATTTGAGGTTTTCTTAATCATTACCTGTCAGACATTTAATGCACACATGGGGGGGATTTAACGCTGGCAGGCTTTATGTCTTGGCTAGCTGATGTAGATCGGCAGCCTACGACGTCACCTCCAATCACCAATGATTACTTTCCAAGTGGCATTATTATATTACTATCGAGCTCCGCACCTGCCCCTGAAGCAACCGCTCTGATGCCTCAGGTCGGCTCCCGAGTTCATTCGATTCTTCCGACCTTCTGGAGTCTCATTTCAGATCGTCACCTATTCGAGGTCGGTATCGGCGCTTGAACGGCACAAATGTCGGGCTCGGGAATAGACCCACAGGGATGCGATGATTAGTTTAACTCGGGATTCAGTTCGGCATTTGCACATCTGACCGGGTTTCCGACTCGGCTTTTGGAGTTGCCTTTCGTCCAGTTTCCTTTTGGGGTGAACTCGGATGTCAACAAGGATGTGGTTCAAATGAGAACCAAGTCCTAGCGTGAGAACCGCTATTTTTAATTGTATGTAATGCTATGATTGATTGTGTTTTAGTGTTATTTTTAACTAGGATGTATTTGATTAAAAATAGCAATAAAATTTTTATTAGCATTTATGAAAAAGATAGCACCATGCAATATTAAAAATACATCATACGCAATTAAAAATAACATCAAATATGGTTCTCACGGTTCTCATACCAAACCTAGTTTTTATTTGAACCAGCCCCTATATATATATGTTTCAACTATTAGAGCATCCACAAAACTTTGGTCTAATGAAAAAGAAAATTACATGTCATGTAGGAAATAAACCTAGTGTAAAAAACAATGTCTTCCAATGTAACTAAAAGTTGATTGGGTCCAGCTGATGTGGCAATAAGAAAATGAGACCCGGTTTATACTTAGCATAAAAAATACTTTGTATCTAATTTTGCATATGTGTTATGTAAATAATCTCAAGTCTTGGATGACATACGTACAATTAAATAAAATAAAAATGCTACAGGTACATAATAAATGTACATAGATGTGTACATAACACTCACATGGTGTGGTGTCCACTTGTTTTTTTATTTTTTGTCGGTCACACTCAATGTGAGTGTTATGTACACCCTTATGTACAATATTATGTACCTATAGCATTTCTCTAAATAAAAATAACTAAATTCATTCCAATGGAAAGAGATTGGTGTCAAATTGAGTCTAAAATAGACTTAAGGGTGTACTGTGCCACTTTTTCTTGTTGTCACATCAGCAGAACTCAGTCAATTTTTACTTGCATTGAAAAATATCTTTTTTCTATACTGTATTTATTTCTTACATAGCATGTAATTTTTTTTTTCTTTTTGAATGGACCCAAACTATTGTGCATGCTTAAGTCTAATTTAAACTCAAGTAGAGACCAATTCTCTTTACATTGTAATGATTTATCCATGTTATCGAAGTTTTGAATCAATTTTTTTGTCATGTAAGCAAAATTAGACCCAAACCACTGTTGAAGCTTATGTCCAATTGTCTATATCTATCTATCTATCTATCTATCTATCTATCAAATTGGTTGTTATAGTTGTCAATTAAGTAATGAATCAATTTTCAGTTATACACTTTCACTAATGTCATATTCGTGCCTCACAATTTACCTGTAATCAACCTATATCAAATTCCATGGCAACTCAACAATAAAAGTTGCAAATGAATATTCGCGCCTCACAATTTACCTGTAATCGACCTATATCAAATTCCATGGCAACTCAACAATAAAAGTTGCAAATGAATGAACCAAAAGTTCATAAAGACCATCAGTTCATACAAAAAGTTTCTGCTTTCCCTATTTATTTGTTTTCTATATTTCTTTTTGGTTGTCAAGTTGCTTTGTAGCATCCCAGTTTGGAAGGTTAGCAGTAGCTTCATTCATCATTTTTACAAAAGTCACCTGCAAATAACAATCATCAATAACAATCAGAAAAGCTTTTGGACAGTATATAATGCCTTCAAACATACATTTTAACACAGTAATATGCAGCAGAACATTTAACAATTTCTTGAAGACAAATTAACAAATTCAAACTCCAGCAGTACAAGGAATACTAGAAGTGAGTAGAATAAGATTATTTTGGCCAACATACCACACTTTCGGGAGCACCTGAAGGCGGCAGAGACAGATTTCGAGGTGGAGGCCCATCAAGATACAAACGCTTATTAAAACCCCAAACTCCAGGTTTACCGGAAGTTTGCTCCCCCTAAAAATCAACCAAGTTATGCATGAGAATGTTAGCACCTCAAAATGAATAGTAATTTTGCCAATATATAGTGCATAAAACAACCCTTTCATAACCCAAAAAAAAAAAAATGTTTGTGTACACTTTATACTAAATATTTATTGATGAAACTTCTTCTTCTTCAGAGGTGAGAAACAAGTTACCTTGGAATTGTAATCAAGAGCATAAGTGTAGTGAAGAATGTAGATATTCGCAGTTTCCAAATCCCACGGGGGCTGAAATTACATACAAAAAATGCTAAACAGCTGAAAAAATATATACTCAAGCTTGTAATGCTAATGGGAAAATGAAAGTGAGATTAAGAGGTCATAGTTGGTTGAGAAAAAAGAACCTGCAACTGGAATTCTTTCCTCAAAATATGCTGCACACCATGCAGAGCAGAGGCAACAGCATATGCATACNAGAAAACATGAGACGTTAAGAACTACAATCAACAATTTTAGAAAATAAAAAGTGCAATATAGTGAATGCTTCTCAGAGTGTGCTCACATTTCCAAGACCCATCCAAAAGCTTTGTCCGTCTCCGGATCACTTTTCATTTTTATGGAGACGTTCATCCACGTAGGTGCGATTATGTTGAGCAAATCCTGATAAACATTACAAACCGAGTGATTGATGATCCAAACATAAAATAAATAAATAAATCATGAACATCATCTAAAGCACACATCAATGAAGACCTTTTTAATTATAACTGGAGAATTTCCAATAGGATCAATGTTTGTTAGTGGGCCCATCTCCTCCGGATAGAACTTGCGAATGAGATTTGCATGCTGGTCAGGCTTGATGTAGAAAAACGGGTATCCGGCAGGATAGTCTTCATACGCCAAATTAGGCAGCGGCTTTAGAAATATGTGGTCGGGTTCGGCCATCAATATATATCTACGGAACAAATGCTAATCAGGTCTTTCAAGCACATACAACAGGAACTGAGAGAGAAAANACCAATGCTAATCAGGTCTTTCAAACACATACAAGAACTGATATTGAGAGAAAACAAAGAAGCTTACTCTTCTTCAATTTTGGACAACTTCAGCCACTGAATGAAGGCCCAAGGCCTGTTTAAGACAACATAACCCTATATATATGACATGTCATTTAAATTACTTTCAAAAATCACAAAACAACATGTTATATAGCACACTTACTTACTTACTTACTTACTTACCATATCATAACCTGGAGGAAGAGGATCAACTACGAATGTTGGTATCTCGTCCATGAGATTGTCGGGCTCTCCCGAATGAAGAATTCTTGTAAAATTACCCATGGGAAGTTGTTTCTTCTTCTTAAACCAATAATACATAATACGGCTCTGCCATTTACTGTAAGGTGTGTCTGAGGCAGTCATGGCAATGTGATAAGTTTTCTCGTAATTACTCTTCGTTACATGGGGAATACGAATTACGGGATCAATCTGTTTTCGAGGGCCATTTACCATGTCGTGTGATGTCATTGTCAAGAAAAGCCCCACTGGCAACAGAAGGAAAACAATAACTGCTGCTGGCCTCATACTCTATTCTATCACTTCTCTTTTTTTCTTTTTTTAGCGCCAACAATGTCAAATTGCAACAATTCATTAAGGTTGATGCAAAGAGATGGCCTGACAGAAATAACCATAAATGATTGGTAAAGATGGAAACTTATTGGAAAATGAATGAATCATATTAGAATTAAGGAAAGCTAGGAATTATTTATTTCCCAAACGTTATAATTTGGAGAAGTCGATGATGCAAGAACTAATAAGTGCCCTTACCTCAAGAATCTCAGAATTTCACTAAACGAAATGAAGTAAAAGAGAGCGTAGAGCTTATTGTAAAGATTCCAATCAATAGGAGAGAGAAAGAGAGTGAGACAACTAACCCAAAAGTCTGGGTAAAATTGAAAGTCACCGCAATTGAAGGAAGAGATATTGACTAAAGACTTGTCATTACTGAAAGTTGTTGTACATTAAAAAAAAAAGAACAATGGCACCTAACAAATAATAAGAAGTCAAAAGTGTATTTGATCCTTTGACGAGAATGGGTGTATATTTTCAAAGACACAATACGAGGAAGCAATGCAGAACAACCATTCTCTCTTTCTTTCTTCTCCTCCTATTTTTTTTTTATTAATTCATTTATCTTTGGTGTGATTTTTTTTTCTAATTAAACTTGTGAAAGCTTTCATATCTATCTATCTATTTATCATCTATCTATATCTATATCTATCTATATGTATGTCTATCTGTCTATCTATCTATATCTATATCTATATATACTATTATAAAAGGACGAGTGATTTTGTAAGAACTAGTAAAGTGCACACGTGATGATGAGTGTTTTTTCCGATCAAATTTAGTAAAATAAATAAATTAATTTATTAAATATATCATTGCAGGAACAAAGTAAAATATAGAATAAATGAGCTTCTAATGTTTTTTTTTTTTAAAATAACATAATGATGTCCTCATATATAAAGAATGCAATAACATATTACAATCCCAACAAAAATATAGTCCATAATGAAAAAAAAACACAAAATAACTAAATACAGACCTAATGTATATTATAGATGCATTAGTTATTTTACTTAATTCATTTGGCCAAACGTCTATTTTATTCAAACACTTATAAGTATTCTGGCCAAACATATAGTCAAACTTCATGATTGTATGATCTTTATAAAGTATTTCTACTAAAAGTTCATGAATAACTTTGTAAAATAACCAATCGTACATTAAATTGTTGATTTTCTTTTTATTTTTTTTTATCATTGTATAAACTACTTCATTACTATGTCAATATAGACAAATTGATACCTATCCCATGCAGGCATTGCCCCACGGGATGGAAATGAATTTCATCTCCAAAAAAGTTGACTTCCAAAATATTAGTTACATGTACTTATCTCGAGACGCTAAATTAATTTTTGAAATCATCACATTACATGAAAGTACGTATTGTAAAGTAATTGCACATGTTTTCGAGCAAAATACACAAAATATTCCTATAAAAATGGGACAATTTCATTCAAACATTCAAGAATGTTTTGATCACATTTTTTTCAATATTATTTATTTGGAAGACAGATGAATTATATAATCTATTGTTTGCAAATCATTTAGCGTTCTTTATCATAATATCTTTCACATTCTCTCGAATTTGCAGTACTTATATGCATAATATCTTCTTTAATGCTTTTATTGTCCAATTTTTTTGCATCATACATAATGCTTCGAAAATTCAAGATAAATATCATTTCTTGGACAAAGAAAAAAAAAAAACATTGAGACAATATTAAGAAGCATATAATTTGTAATATTTGAGAAGAGAAGAATTAGAATTCTATTATATTATGATCCTCAGCTAATTATATTATATTATGATACTCTTAGTCGCTCTATGAACTTTATTATTACAAAGTTATTATTAAATTTTATATTATGTATTACAAAGTTTTTATTTTTTAATTATTTAAAATTCTTGATAATATAGGATCATTATTTATGAGAACTAATTTCTTACAATATTTAGACGCTAGCAAAAAAAAATAGTAATTTTAAAAGACTTTTATTTCTAGATATTGGTATCATATTTCTCTCAAAAAAATCAACCTTTTTCTCTTCCCATTGAATTACTATCGCTTTATATATGTCTTATTCTAGTCACAAATAATATTTATTTGTTAAAAGAATTAGAGCACATTTATACGTATTGCGTCATTTTTTTGTACATACTTTATATAATGATATTATATTCAAAATATCTTATTTATTAGGCTACAACTAATATAATCAAATATGATAAATACTATTTAATATTACTTATTTATCTATTTATAATAATAATATATGTGAAAAAAATGTACTTTTATACTAGGTAAAAGATTAAAAAGTTTAGAAATTTTTTTATTTAATAATTCGTATTACTTGAAAATATATGTTATATGTTACAACCATTATGGTGTTCTTTAATGTAGTAACTGAATAATTTTTCAAAATACAACTCATTTATTTCTCCTTTTAATTCGCATAGTTAATGTTGGTAATAGTTGTAAATTTACATCCATTTTGTACATTTTTCTTATCTGTATGAATATTTCAAATCTATGTAAGTAAAATATAGCACAAATTTATCTCATGTTTTTTTCATACTTAATAAAATTGTTTAACATGAATTTGTAATTTATTTTATAAGATACTTTTAGTTACATTTATTATTCTAAACTAGTATTGATATATATATATATATATATATATACATATATATATATATTATTTTATATCGATAGAACTAAGTATATTTATTTTATTTTATTTACACAATGGTCAAATTAAACATCATTGGAAAGAAATGATGTGATATATTACGTATAAAATGGATAACAAATAAATAAAAATTAAGTATATTATAATTGAAAATTTAATGGTAGTCAGTAATTAAATTTGTAACTAAAATAATTAAGACTAACATATCAATTTTTAATGCAAAAACATATATACTTCTTATGTACTTAAAAGTCTAGCTAAAATAAATGTTCATCTTGAATATGTTTATATTTTTCATTAGCCAGCTCCAACTGATATAGGACATTAATTAATTTTATCATTTTTTTTACTCATGAATTCAATGCGAGCTATATGTTTTCTCATTATCTAGTCTTACATTTTTATTACGCATAATATCATTCTTACTCCTTGTTTAGTTACTATAATAGTAATAAAATAATTAAGACTTTTCAACCTAGATGTAATCTTGTTTGGTTTGAAAAAAATACTAATTGTCATAAATTAAATGAAAATTACATTAAATGTGTTATATTTTCAATCATTATCAACAATTTTCATAATAATTAGTTGCACGCAATATTATATATAATGTAAATATTTTTATTGATTTAGAGCCCTACTTTTACTACAAGAAAAATGATGAAATTTCGACGAAAATATATTACAGTAGAATTTTAACGATAATCTAACGAATATTTCAATGTTATTACCTCCTTTTGAATTTTTCAGTGAAAAGTTTCTGATAAAAATATTTTGTTGGAATCATGCGTTGATCCATGTTTATAGGCCCCACACAGGCTCTCATACCAAAACATCTAGGATAAGGTACCTAACTACAATTGTGGGAATACGTTTCATAATTTTAATCATGTCCACTATTTTGGTGATAAAATTAAAAGAAAGAAAATACATAATGAATTACTTTACAACTCAACCAATTATAAATTACTTCAGTTCATAACTTTACTAAAATTATAACATACACGCGGTATCATTACTAAAGAAAATATGATAAAATATCAAAATTATAATTCTACTCAAGAAATAATAATTAAAATATCATGATATATTTTATTTAATTATTGAATGAAAAAGTTTAAATATTTTAAGTGTTAATAATTAAAATATTATTCACCTTGATATTTGAATGGTCGGGTGAAGATTCATTAACTTTATTGACTTTATGACCAAAACAAAAACAAACAAACAAACGACGATTTTTCTAAGATGAAAATCACATCCAATAAAATAAAGGTTCAATTTCTATATTAATTCTAAATAAAAGAGTTTATTTTCTTAAATAATGAAATAGTTAAATGAATTGTTCACTTTTCTAGTTTGTTAGATTATGTATATATATATATCACGGTATATGATTTACGTACAATTTTAGGCATTTTCTCTTAATTAATGTTAAGTATGTATCTTTAGAATTATTTATTCACTAAAAATATAAAATCTGATAGTTATCAGTATATTACTAATTTGCCACTAAAGATAAGTCAAAATAAGGGTTTTTTAGGTAGTTCATATATTTACAAAATCACTCGTTCTTTTATAATAGTATATAGTATATAGATAGATTATTTTTATTGGCGATTTATAAAAACCATAACTCAATTAATATTTTGCTAGTCAAATCTTCTTAAATTCCTCGTGTTATTTTCTCGTTTATAATGACATAATTTTTGTATATTTTCTTCACTCGATCTATCTAAAGTTATAGTTATTTGAACGATTTTTTTCTCGTTGAAATACTACTTTTATTTTTTATTTTGTTAATAAGCATATGGTACTCAATCTCATTTAACATAAAATTTCAATAATTTAGCTTTATAGTTTAAAACATTAAAAAATAAATCTTTTGGCGAATTATAATTGATTTTTCACTTATGGAATGTAAAGTTTTAAATATCTATATTGAAAAGATTGTTTTGGGCTAAAAGCACATTTGATGTTCAGTATATTGCGATTGCGATTGTGCAAAATAATGTAAAGTGAATCACAGAAGATGAATAATGTTAAATTTAAAACTAAAAACTTAAATATCATCCCAAAATCACGATATATGGATGTATACAATTATTCCAATCACCAATATTGATACTAAAATAATTAATTAATATGTCTCTTAAAATCAAAGTCACTATATATTATGACAAATAAAATAAATACAAACTAAATTTTAGTTTGTCAAAATTTGTCATTGAATAATAATTTTTTCATAATATATTATTTCATATAAGGTAAGTTAGTTATGTATTGTATTATTTTTAAGGCAAAATTGCATATAAAAGCACCACCTTTTATGTTTTTGCATTTTAATCACGACCTTCTCATATTAGCACTTAAGTACATGACCTTTCATCTCTTTGCAAGTCGAAGCACGACTTTCATCTCCGGCACCAAGTCGAAGCACGACTTTCATCTCCGACTTTCATCTCCGGCACGACCTTCTCATATTAACACCCTCCCGTTCTCAATCGTTCACAAAAAAAACCCTAATTTTGTTCTTAAATTTCTGTGAATATGCCAATAATGGCAAAGTTCTTGTGAATCAGATGCTCTTCAATTTCAGTAAACATTCTCCACAGCTTGTCGAAACCCCAAAATTCCCAATTCCTCTTCATATACGAACCCTAATAGTGTTTGTCGAAACCCCCAATTTGTCCTGAAAATGTCGAGCGGATCTAGTAGTCGAACTACAATTCCTCATCCTCCTAGTTGTAAACATGGTCATGCGGAGCTACTGACCTCGAACACGGATAAAAATCCAGCTCGGAGGTATTATCGCTGTGTTGAGAGAAATGTAAGATTTTTTTTTTTAAAAAAAAGAAAATNAAGATTTTTTTTTTTTTTTTTTTTTTGAAAATCTGTTCTGTCATTGTTCATTCAAACATGTGATGTTTGAATATGATAATGTTTTGTTTTTGTGAGTTTGTGGCGCAATGATTGACTGAAAAATTGATACATTGCCTGTATATTGATGATATTTGATGTATTTGATACTTTTTGGTTAATTGGTTTATTCTTGGGCATACTTCAATTCTATTGTTTGGCTTTGTGAATATGTGCTCGGATTATGAATAATACTCGATTAGCTCAGTTTATTCTATGCATACTTGAATTGTATCCTGCATACTTCATATGTTGGGATGATGGAATTTTATCCTGTGCAGACTATCATATTCAATGCCAATTTCTATACCAAATTCCCTATTTGTACATTAAATCACAGATTGAGATTTCCTAATAATGCAGACCAATGATTGCAAATTTTTTGAGTGGCATGATGCTGAGTTGCCACCATTTCAGAAGGCTTGCTTCTTGAGAATGAAGGCTCAAAAGAACTTGCTAGAAGAACAATTGAAATGTAAAAGTATCTCTGAAAGTCTTATGTCTGAAAGGCTAGAGATCAAAGAAAATGAGTTGCATCAGTTGAAGAACAAAATTCAAGAGTTGGAGATGAAGGAAAATGAGTTGCATCAGTTGAAGAAGAAAATTCAAGAGTTGGAGCAGAATGTGCATAACCATTCTAGGAGACTGAAGTTTGAGAGAAATGTCTTTATGTTATTTCTGCTTGTGTTATTTGTATCTATGTTCATTGTTAGATTAGACTCTGGTAAATGTCAATTAATGTTGAAGTAGATTATTGTGTCGTAGGGGACTTTGAAACATTGTACCTTTTGTGTTGTTTGGAAAAATTATCAATGTTGTGTGATTTGTGTTTGTAAAAACATGGACAACTTTAAGGTTGTGTGAAATTTGTGTCTATTCTGTAAGCACATAATATGCTTCTTTAAACATAACCAATACCAGTAATAAAAGCCCTGCACCATGCAATTCACACACACACAATAGCAACTGATAAGATTGCTTGGCATAAACATAAACAACAACATTTATAAACCTTTTTAAACCATGTCATTCAAACACAGAAGATTCTTTGGCATAAACATAAACAACAAAAACAACTGAAATGACATAAACACACAAGAGCAACTGAAATGAAAAAATAACACTAATAAAGGCCCTGAAACCACTCAATTGACAAAAGAGCAAATTCATGTTTGACACTTCAATAATTCCTTACAACTGAATTCCACAAAAGATAGCACCTAAAAAAAAACTGAATTCCACAAAAGATACAACTGAATTCAAATTTAATTCCTTATCTAAGTACATTGCACTTCCAACAACAAAATGA